TGATCATATCTCGAAAATTTCGTAAGTAGGGGCGTTCGTAAGTAGAGGTACCACTGTATTTTCCATTTGCAGATCTTTAATCACAGGGTGATTAAATCAACCATGGATTAAGAGAGGTGACTATTCTCCATCAGTGTAGAATTTGTTTCTGCCTGCTGAAAGGAAGACTGTTACTGAAAAAGCCATCCCTTGACCAAGAAAATCTCTCCAATTATAGGTCAGTCTCAATTAAACTATTCCTGGGAAAAATGATAAGAAAGCTGTGGCCTTACTGCTACAAAATCATCTTCATGGAACTGACTAGTTTCAATCAGAATTCTGGCTATCCTAGATATTGTACTGAGGTGATACTGGTGACTTAAGTGAATGACCTATTGTATACCAGTGACTGGGATAGGAGGGAAAGCAATCCTACTGGACCTCTCAGGATGATCAACCACAGTATTCATCTAGGCCATTTAATCACCCAGGAAGGGTAAGGATTGAGCAAGCAAGAGGTGGCCCCTCCTATACCCCCTGTCCACATCATCAAGATCTGCAAATGGAAAATAACTTATAGGAACAATGAACCTCCTTATTTTGAAGCTATGAACCTCCTTATTTTGCAGTGGATCAGGATCTTCCTGCTGGGATTGTATTTGACATCTATGTTATTAAATTATGGTGTCCCATTGGGTTCTATTTTGTCCCCTATGCTATCAAATCTACACTGAAACCACTGAAGGAGGTCTTTCAGAATCTGGACTGGGGTACTATCAATATGGTGATGTCACCCAGCTCTACTGTTTCCTACTATCCCACTCCACAAAAATAATCATTTACCCCGAACTTTACCTAAGCTTGATAATGACAGGATGAGGAAGAACCCCCCAGAGTCATGTTTGTGAGATGGGTGGTTATACAAATTGAATAAATAAACAAAAAAAAACAAGCTGAAGTTCAACCCAAACAAGACAGGGGTGCTGTCAGTAAGAAGAAAGTTTGACTGGGTGACTGAAATGAAGCTTGTCTTGGATAGGATTGCATTCCTCAAGAGCGAGGATTCCCAGTTTTGGAATGCTTCTTAAGCTCCAACTGTAACTGAATTGGGGTGGTACCTGTGACAGGAGCATGTTTGCATAACTACATCTAATGTACCACTGGCAACCCTTTGTAATTATAGTCAGACTTTGTGACTCCCACTTCAATTGCAATCTGTCTTGAGCTACGCAACACACTTCACAGAGGACTAGCCTTGACTCCAGAAACTGCAATTGGTACAAAATGCAGCGGCCAAGCTGTTAAGTGGCACGGTGTACAGGGACTGCAGGATGCCTCTGCTGAATGATCTCCACTGCTGCCAAGTGCCCACCAAGCACAATTTAAGCCTGTATTTAATTATTCATCTGATTTGAATAGCCATCTGATCCACTGATAGCCACAATCAGGAGATGCTCAGCATGTTACAGTGCCAACAATAAATGCCCTGATGCTGGCCTTAATGTTTTAAACAGCCTAGGACCACTCTATCCTCGGGACTCCCTCTCCCTAAAAGAAGCCAGCAGCAGAGGCCCCTCCGAAGTTCTCCTCCTGCTGATGATCTGCTGGGCTGGAGAAAACTCACCAACTGCGCCTGCTCCCGCTCCTCTCCCAGGATTGAAGAGGATGGCAAAGATGAACCTCTGCTGCCAAGCTTTTAATGGCTAATTGTTCAATGTTAATCAGTATTATTTTACTGGTAATGATTTTATTGCTGTCTTCAACTGTTCTTAATTTTTAGAGTGATGTTTTATAGTCTGCATCTTTTACTGTTATAATCTGCTTTAAATGCTTACACAACACAGAAAGGTGGGGATAATTTTATGATTTGCAATAGCTGTAAGTGATTAAATAGTGAAAACAATAGCTGAATTCAAGTATCATGATAGATTACTATTTATTATTAGAAAAACTAATCAAGGCAAACCTTGGCCTGCATGCTCCAACCTTGGGCTGCATGGATTATGAACAGGGAACAAACCATGATTAACCTTACTTTCAAGCATACTGTACTTTCATGAGGTCAGCTATTTTTTTAAAAAAATACATTTAGAATTAATCAAAATTTAGGGTTTAGGTTTTAAAGCTAAATTGAGCTTCTACAAGCTGCAAATAAAAAGAAAAATAACTTAGTAACATCATCTTCCTACATTTGTTTAGCAGTGTATAAAAACAAAATCCCTTCTGAGATGCTGATAAGGGGAAGACCGACTGAAAAAAAAGATGTAAAAATGCACTTAAAGGGCCAGAAGTCCATTTTTCAGGGTCAGCAGGATGGCAACCTTATACTTACAAGCATAAAAAACCTGAATGAATAAGCAAGTAACAGACTTGCATTCAAGCACTTTTCTGAATGGCATGTTATTAAACCAGAAGGGAGGGTAGTAAAGGAAGATCGGCTTCAAAGAATGCATATATAAGCACTAGAACTGACAGCTCATTACCGCCTTCTATCAGCCCTTTGTCTCACCCGGAGATGGAAAGATTCAATGGAGCACAGGAGGTGGTGAGAGAGGGTGGCATTTCTCTCCAATGGGCAACAGATTGTCCCAACTGCAAAAGTGGAGCTAGCAGCCTCTTGACCTAGTAGTGCCAGTCACGTTGCAGGCTTTACAGGTTTTCCTCATTAGAAAAAATGAGGCGGCAAGAAGGCCCTTCAAATTAGAGGCAGGAAGGACATTGTTATGGACATTGTCAAGAAGTGGGGCATTCCTCTGGCAAATTAAAAAGGATGTCTTGTGTTCAGACACTGTTGGAGGTGAAGCAGGGGTCCCTAACCCTATTATTTCCTTGAACTGGCTCTGATTTCTCCTGCAGCAGAAAAATGTACATGAAGAGAATGGAGTGTCTTTATTCTTACATTCAGAACCTCGACTTCTGCAGTTCTGCTGAATTGTACTTCTGTCTGCTGTTAGCCTTTCCTCTACCTCATGCGGCCCTGTTCTCTGCTTGAGTTGCTGCAATCCACAGCATCCACCATCACAGACCAGAAGATGACAAGGAAAGGAGAGACTGTATGAGCCTGACATAGTTTCGGAGTGGGTCTGAACGTGACCCCTATGTACTACTGGTTAGACTGTTAATGTAACTGGGGAAGTGGTTAGGGTACTATTGCTTACAAGAACAGTTGATGTCCAGCAACATCTCGATTAGAAAGTTTAGAACTAAAATATAAGCAGCATGAAATACCTTCAGTTGCTTTTGATCTGGGGCTTTATAAAGCTTCTCCATTTTGTCTATCTCTGCATCTAATTCAGTACGATAGAGGCAGTGGTTTTTTCCTGGATCAACCTGGTTAAAGATTGGAAAAGAGGAAAGGTTGAAGTGAAAGAATTAATTCTGACCCTTTTAATAGGAAAATATGGAATACATAAGACAAAATTCCAATACTTTCTATGTATTCAAATACAGCTTAGAAGGTTCTCTGCTGAATTTCTCAAGATCAGTTTTGTCCTAATTTTTATTTGAAAATAATTATAAAAATGCATTCATACTAGAAGAACAACTGCATATCATGAAAACAAAAGATGCTCTGATCTACTGAAGATTACAATATTTTCGGGGAGGGGGGTTGCAGTCCATCACATATATAAATTCAATTAAATTCAAAGCACTCCAATTCAAACACTGCTACAGATGAAAGATAAGCTATATATATATATATACACACACACAACCATATTGTATACATTATATATTCAAATTACCTTTCTATCCTCTCTAGTAAGGATAGAGCAATCTCCAGGAGTATAATCCCATATCTTTTTTGGAGGCTGATGGAAAGCAGAGGAGGAAATGAGGAAATGAAGATAAAGAAAGACATCACAGAGAATATGGAAACTCAGCTAGTGCAGAAAGAGTCTACTGGGGGGAAACTGTCTCCACATCAGAAATAAAACAAAAGAGAAAGTGAAAAGAAAGAGAAAGTAAACCTGCTGTAGCACAACCACAGATTGTAGAGGACTGTGTGGCTCTGCTCTGTTTTGCTTGAAATAACAGCTTTGTAATTGCTACAATCTCCGTAATTCTCATAGGAACAGTAGTTTAGCAAATACAGTTTGGTAAAGAAATCAGCTTATTTTAAAAAAATAATTCTTTTTCCCAAAATATAATCAAGCAAGTATGTTTATGCAATGTAAATGGGATAGTTCTATTTCTTCAAAGCTTCCTAGTCTTTAAGATCGTACATACCGTATTAGCAAATGGAGTTTCTAGAGATGGTGGTGTGACACAATGAACATATAGAGTTGTTACCAATACTACTGTGTAAGTTGAATAAGATCAGAGAAACTAGTTTAGTATATAGCATAAACATTTTGAGACCAACTCTGGGTCCCAAGACATTTGGGAGGCCATCTCTGGTCACCAATAGTTTGCCTGCTCTGTCTTACACAGTTTATTTGCCACGATTGAGAGAACCTCAGTCAGAGGTAGGTGAGATGCCAGCCCCTTATTTTCAAGATCCCAGGACACCCAGAGAGATTAGGGTTGAAAGTTTCTGACTTTTTATAATATTTGGATGGGTTAAGGGGAGAAATATAATTACACAAAAGCAGGATAGGTTCCACAGGACTTAAAGTATTCATTTTACCCATTAAAAAAATCCACCCACCCCATAAAATCTATCCAATTCTTTCCCTGGGGTAAAATCATGCCCACCTCAGTGGATAAGCCCCCAGAAGCCCCAGGCAGGGCAGGAGGTCACAGTCTTAAGATCACTTAGTCCTGGTTGTTCTAATGTGTTTCTCAGGCAGAAGGAGTTTTCCTATACTTGTTCTAGGATATGAAGATGATTTAACAATTACCAAAAAGTATTTACCACAGCCTCCTGTTTTCAATAAGGCCTTTGAAAAATATCCTGCAGAAATCTTGCAGGACGGGTCAAGAAATAAATCCTCGTAAATATGTAGCTTATTCATTGAACAACTGCACAAAAAACTCCTATCAGAAGGAAGGCCTGAGCTAGTAGTTGATACCTGTAACATTTCAAGCAATCATGGTCTATAAGCATATTAAATCTGAAATATTATTTTATTACTTTTCAATTAAAACATTCATGTGATTAGAAATGCTAGTAATCGTTAGTTGCTACACAATGAATTAGCATTGGATTCTCCAGGTGTCAGGAATATTCTAGAAATGAATATTCACTACTACAAATCCATATCTATAATTTACTGTGGATGTTTGAGAAAGCTGGAGATAGCTTTTGGCACTTGATCTTTTTCCTTTTTCGCTTATTCCTTGTAAGGTTTAAAGCATTTGGATAAATTGGTACCATACAATGAATGGGAAGATACAGAATTGTATACATTCAAGGATGAAATAATTATTTCTGGTGGATGTATTTTAAAGAAGAACTGGCACTGAAGTTCTTTGAGTAATCAAATCTCGGATTATCTCTCATTTTATTTGACAGTTGAATTTTTTTCACCATAAGCTTACTGAATCTCATCTACTACTGCCATTAAAACATTTGACAAATAGTTTCAGTACTTACTGAAGCCTCTACAATATTATATAAAACTCATGTCAACTATAATGATATTTTAGACTTTTTCTTGAAAGTATAAACAATTCTGGGAAGAGAATTAGGAATTCCTAAAAGGGCATAAAATTCATGAAAGCCATGAAAAATCAACCAAAAAGATAATTCCCAGAGTTATTCTTCTATCTATCTATCTATCTATCTATCTATCTATCTATCTATCTATCTATCTATCTATCTATCTATCTATC